GGTCTGCCCGTACCATGTACCATACAGAAACGCAGACACCTGTGATTGCGAATTCCGGGCACGGTGTGGTCTCTCGCTGGCCCTCAACATTTTTTAGGTACAGTTGGTCGCACATCCCAGAGCCTGAAACATCGAATTCCATGGCTCTGCATTGCCAACTTCGAAATGCAGCTCGCGTCTTCATAAAGTATGCACTTGTCTCGCAGGCCAGGTTGACACTCCAATTTGGCCTAGACCCAGTCCTATGCTTCGCCTGCAGCAGGAAGAACGCCGCTCCTCCTCTCAGCTGCCTGGTCGCACATCATCTTCTGCATGTCGCTGGCCGTTTCTGGGGTCAGCTCTGTCTGGGCTAAAGCTGGTATACACAAAAGTTCACAAAAACGTACATACCTTCACCGACCCGTGAACTTTCGCTTGGTGTCGGTCGAGTCGACAGCGCCACCTTTGGCTCGGCTTGTACAGCAATCGAAGCAGGAAGCAACCCTCAGCCCAAACTCTGCAGTCTCAAGGCTGCTCTTCATCTTATATAGGGGCCTCAAGAATTACCTGTACTATTTTGGTGGTTCCTTAGGTATACTAGAAAGGACCCCAAGACCCTAGTGAAATTGTCAAGGCCCCTATATTATCCCAGAAAGTGCGATGAACCTCCTTGCAACATGCACATCCCTACGCTGGTCTGACTTCCGCTTCGACAACTTCCACTGCTAGCTACCAGGACATTACATAATCAGTCGTCGAATCTTCGAAGGAGTCAATCTGGGAAGCTGAGGAACGAAGACCGCGTTGAAGAGCTTCTGCGCTCAGAGCTGCGCAGCAAAGAGGCCTTCGAGAAGCAGGAGGCGAGCCAAAAGGTTTGAGGAACTGTCAGCCTCAGGGCGTCAGGGTTTGTGTTTAAGAGTTCAGTGTTTATGGGGTCCGTTATGGGGGCGAGGGCGAGGGCAAAGAGACGAGTTCAGAAGGAGCAGACACCGAAGACACAACTTAGATCTTGGGTTCGCGGGTGGCCTTGAACAAGACCTCCTACCGAACAAGTCGGAGCCTCCTTGTCTACACTGTATAGCGAATGCTCAGAAATGCTCCGAGAATCTCCGAGAGACTGACTAGAAGTGTTTCCTGCGGAGCAGAGTACAGTTGCATGGGTTTAGAGAGACAGAGCGCTCTCCAACCCTCCTCGATCTTTCGATGTTCCGCTCACTCCATCCCGCGCGCTGCTTCAGGGCTCACGGATGCAAAGCGACTCGAGCTTCAAGAATCATCGTGAAGTTTGTTAGGTGCTTATTATTGCGTGCTGAAAGGAGCGATCAAGGCCTCAAGGACATTGACGACTCCCAAAAATGGAGCATGGCATAGTCTGCAACAGGCACTCAGTCTTCATGTTCGCTACTGTAGCAAATCTAGAGCGAAGCTCGTCAAAGCATTGCGGCACGAAACATGGAGATGCTGCAGATCAATTGAGCTTCCCTTCAGGCCGCTGTGGTCGACGACAAGCAGCGGCTAAATTCTGCATACCGACAGTTGGAGCAGGTGGGCTGATTTTGGGGGAGCATAGTCTGGGTTTGTGCTGTACGGTTTCGTAACATGTCATCGGGATAATGCATGGGACAGGCTGGCGCTAAAAGCTCGGGAGAGGACCGGGTTCTCAGCCCCGACGACAAGTGTCGTTGTGCTGTTCCTTGTGGACCACCCATAAACACCCAACCATACACCCCGTGGCCTCAAACATTCTTACAGATAAACCCTTAGTTGAAAACTGAATGCAGCAACATGAAGCATTTCTAAGACAGATAGCCCAAGACGATCATCAGATGCCAGGCTCATGCCGAGGAGCGTTCTTCCCGCGAGAAGGCGGAGGAGTTCCACCAGCAGGCGCAACCTAGGGTTTCGTTTTTTTTTCTGGGGTGACTTTATTGCAACTGCGACCTGACAGCCACCGGTACCCCGACGGAAAAGTATGGACTTTTGTGGCCTTCACCTGCAGTGAGTGTGATCCTCTGACAGGTGGCTGTGCGACGCTCAGGTTGTCAGTCTGGCAACATGAAGCTGAGGTAGTTGGTCCAAGTGATATTGAGCTTCCGGAAGACTCCACCACAGAACTTCAACAGAGCCACCTCGCGGTGTTTCTGGTAGGGTGCCAGTGGCGCTTAGTTCAGGGCTCTCCTGCTCGTGATTGAGGGATGGCAGAAACTCACGTTTCGGGGCGGGTGCTGCTACAGTAGGTCGCTGTAACGTGCGTGGGCTTGTCCTTATGTACATCGCAGAGACGAAGAGATTTCTAGATTGAGAGAGGGAGAGAGAGAGAGAGATTACCTAGGCGGTACAGCTCTGCTGAACTTACTTTCAGTCAAGAGAGAGAGAGAGAGCTTCGGCAGCAATAGAGACAGAGAGGGGATCCCATTAGGCCCGGGAGAAGAAGAAAAGCGAGAGAGCGAGCGCCCGGGCAGTGAGTGGTGGGCCGTGGGATACTCCAGTGGAACGGACTGCTTCGCTAAATCGGAGAGACGTAGGTCTGGAACTCCCAGAAAATGTGTGTGTGTGTGTAGGTAAGTAGAGTCCCAGTATCACTGGTGCAGTGCCTGCTGCCTTCACTCACATGCCTGCGTTGCTTTGAAAGTGCACTCGGACACTCTCCAACATGCGGCGGGGTGTTTAGCTCAGCCGGGCTTGTAGCCGTGGTGCAGCCAGATTAATTATAAATTNNAGAGAGAGAGAGAGACACACAACAAATATGTTTCGGGCTTCTGCCCACCCGGAGCTAGCCAAACCTCTCGAACGGCTGAGGCCGAGACACAGCTCCTGGCCGTCGAGCTTCTGAAGTTGCAGGCCGCACTTCGGGAGATGTTTTCCGGGGGCGGTGCTCAAGTCCTGTTCTGGGATGAGGTTATATGGGGTTTCTTTATATGAACGCTCTTATTTCGGATGAGGTTAGAGTGGGGGGGTTCTTGGTATTAGTAGAGATCCTTTTTTTAGGGGCCTGTACGTTGAAGATCCTAGTGTCTTGGGTCTACCTTAGGGTCCGATTCTTCTGAAGCCCCCATCTTGCTACCTTGTGCAGTCAAAGATGGCAGCATGGAAGAGTCCAGATAGCACAGAAGCTGAAATAATTACCGATATTTATCCTTAGGGCCTTATATAATTATAGGGCTTTTGAGTATGGTTGTATATACTGTAAAGGAGCCCAAAATCCTTTTCCAACTATGACGGCCCTTACATTTGGGAGTTGGTTCGAGGCTTAAGGCCTGATGGGCTCGAGGATTCCCCTGCGTGCATCATGCAGTATCTGCTTAATTACGTATGTACGTGTTGAAAAGGACGATGAGACTACTTAGTGCATCCACACTACCGGAAGCTGTGTTTAGTGCGTCGGGCCAATTTTTGTGCACTGTGCTGGCAGGGAGCATTTGAGGAAGATGGCCAGAGCGAGTCCAACTTCTCGAGCATGTCAAGAAATCTTGGAGGCACGTTCTTTACCACGCGTTGGTGACGCGGCCCAAAGCTTGGGGCTGGTTCTTGCAAGCTTACCAGCTCTCGACTTTCCATTTCTGCCTAGGCTGCTGATTTGTTGCTCTCGGGGTCAGTACCAGCTTCTTGCGACATGTCAGGAGGGTTCCCGCGCAGTCGGTAGGTCAGCATTAGTCAGGTGCCTACAAACATGTAAACATCGACTGTGTTTCGCTGGCCCAAATCCTACAGGGTCGCTCTGTGAGGCGACACAAAATCTCGGGTGTCCTGAGGCCTCTCTGTGCTTTCGACACATGCTAGACACAAGATGGAAAATTGCCTGTGCCTTCTGTGGTCGTCAGTAGCAATCACAGAAGAAATTGAAATGATTGAAAGCAACACAGATGCGGCCATCTATGCATGGACTCAAGGGCCCGCAGCAACACCACCTGGTATCGGCGTCAGCTTGTACAGTGGAAAGATTCAACGCGGACGCACAGCCAATTGGGTTTCACGAAACCCCAACCTTTCCTGTGCTCAGCCAACCGTGTGGCAGGCAGCCGCCTTCTCGTGGAGGTGGCCAGCGGCAGCGAGGAGAGCGAGGTTGGCTCTTTGATGTTTGCTTTGTTTGCCGGGCTGCTTCGGGGTGACATGCGCATGAAATTCAGGAAAACCACCTCGATGTAAGCCTGAGACAGGAAGTCAATGGAGCCGTCATCAGTAGGTAAGACTTAAGACAACAGTCTCAGCAAGCGAATACATCTTCGTACGCTTGTTCCTGTATGCTCCACAGAACAGAAGTCGCAGCAAATTCTATAGCACGATCTTCAGTTATCAGCGCCGTGGTATTCGCAGCTTGACGCAAAGCACAAGGCTTCAAAAGTCAAGGAACCGCAACTTGAGCACTTTCGCCTCGAGGACGAGTCCCCGAGCTCGCAGGACGGGTCTCTTGCTGCTGTTCTCTTTTCTTGTAGCCCATGGGACTTAGTATTTAACGTTATAAGTACCCTAATTGGGGTTATAATTATAGTTACCCTGTTTATAACCCTAGTTACTAAGTTCCATGTTTCGAGGTTGGCGGTCCGACGGCGCTCTAGCTTACACCTACAAGTACTTGGCAGTTTCTCGGATTCTTTCCGGGTGCAAGCTTGAAGTTCCGTGGCAAGTGCTCCACCGTGGGTGCGCAAAGCATGTGTCAGCCCGATCCCCGCAGCCGTCAAATGCTCCGCTGCAGACCGTGCAAGTGATTTCTGTCTCTGCAGGATTCGCACTGGTTCTCATGGATTGTTGCTGATAGATAGGGTACTGATTCGCTAGCTCATACGTTGTGCAAAAACGCATGGATCGAAGTGTACAATTCGCTTCCAGTCCTTTCGTGGTCACATGACGCTCGAACTGCTGGTGCATGCCAAGCAGTTTTCGAACCTAAATTTACGGATTCTCGATCACATATAGCGGTATAGAAGATGAGCGAAGCATGCGCCGTGCTTGAGATTTGATCTGCAAGAAGCCCACAGCCTCTTGGTCGCAAGTTGCCGGGTGCCGCAACCAGTTGCGGTCTTGAAATTCCGCTTCTTTCCCCCTGATGAACGAAGACTGTATCCAGTTTAGCTGCAGACGTCTGCTTCTCAGAACCTGATACCGGGACGGCTAGTCCTTTCTCCGACAAGTGGGCTGCAGCAAGGAGGCCAAAGCCGTGCCTGCAGTCTTCCCTGGCATTCCACCGCCGTGTTCTCTACTGCTGTATGCTGGGGCCTGCTGGGGTCTTCATTAAACAAGGGTGAGTGACTGTT